TATCTTTAACGATTTTTTTCAGTGTTTTCTCCTTGTTCTGAGGTAAGGCGCTCTGTTTTATAATTGGATCATCTTTAGCTTCTTTGTAAAACACAGTTACAATAATCACCCTCCATCCCAGCCCCTTAGTCCCACAGGCGTTTGTAGAAAATGCTATTTGAATAAGCCACTGTCTGCTTTGTTTAAGAGCTCAGCAACTTTGAACTCCCCTTCCTTGGGCATTCAAAGATTCTTACCATCCACTTGGAAGTTCGAAATTTTATCTGCTGTGAAATCTCTCTTGCCTCTGGCCCTTTTCAGCCCAGAAGAAACATCTAAAAGTTATTCCCTCTACTCACTCTTCTCCTCACTTCCCCAGGTGAAAAACCCCAGAGGAGAAAAATACGTTGTTTTCCATGGTCCTTGTCTCACTCTAGCCACAGATGAACCATCCTTCTGGCTAGCCAGGCAGTCCTAAAGCTAATATTGATGGCCCTTATGCAAGGCAGCAACTTTAAACCTTTCAAACCTTGCTTGAAAGAACTGATGGGCAGAGTTCTGCTAGTGCTATAGAGCACACACCTATTTCCATTTCCACCAGTGAGAGAAGAGGTTGACATCCCCAAAGTACCTTCTTGTATGGTGAGGGGGGGACTTTCTTCATTTCCTCCCACAGAGACAGCTGTTCTGCTGTAACGAGGTGCTTTCAGTTCCACAGTGCAACCGTTTCACCCAGCTCTCAGGGACAGCAACACGTGGCCAGGCTGGGTCTGTCATGAGGGAGGAAAATCAGGCCTGCAAAATGCCCATGTGGTGTTACAGACACAAAGGTCTCTGTGCTGACCCTCGCAGCTGCTGCACACATACCCAGCAGCAGTGTAGCATACTGCTCTGCAGCGTTAGGCCCAAAGGTTGCCTCATGCAATGCACCACAGGCACAGCTCTGCACAACCTTCAGGACTGAGTTGAAGCCTGGAAGTTACAGCGGTCCCTCAAGCTCAGGAAAGAAGAGGGCTTCCAAAGGTCCATGACTATGCTGACTCTGCCTGTGTCTCACCAAACCAGCACCCCTCTGTCCTTCCTGGAGCCTGCTACTGATCTGGCACCTCCCATGGGGGGCATTGACTCATGGGTCTTATCCTTCCTCGTTTTGTTTCTATGCAAGCTTATCTCTAACAAGCCTCTTCTACAACACTGAAATGTGATGCAGTCTAAAAAAAAAAAAAATTGACACTTTTGGAAAGTAGGCAACATTTGTCCTCGTCTTGGGTTACACATGGCTCTCTAACCACAGTCCCAATATCCCTACTGTGCAATTTTCAGCTCTTTTGTAGGCCGAAACCAATACCCTAATCAAAAGCTGGAATCAGAGAGATCAAAGATCTTTGCAAGAGGTTTCTTCATGTTCCCACACTTTTGGAGCTGCAGCGCTGTCAGTCTGAGGAGGCTGATTTACCTGAATGGCTGAGGAAACTTTGTAAGTACTCTGAATGTCAGCTGGTGACTCACCATACTTACGTCCTGCAAGTTGTTATGAAGGCTGCCTCTGCAGGATGACTCCTGTGCTGTGGGAGGAACTGCTCCCTGCCCTGAGCTCTCCTTTGTAATCAGCTCTTGCCTTCTTTTTTGGGAGAACTGCACCATTTTGCTCCCAGGGGGAAGTTAAATGCCCACAGAGTCTGAGCATGGGTTTGCCACAGTATGATTTGCTCAGCAAAGCTCATAATACCCTCCTTAATCCCCATTTTACATCTCCCTTGCTGCACTTTACATTCTCTTATATTACTACAATTTGGGCTGCTTTTCTGTATTTTAGAAAATTCCTCACTTAGAAAATCCCCTTTGTCCATGGTGTCACTCCTCAGCATTATTTCCCATCTGTGGGGAGGGTGTATATGCATCATATGGAAGTACTTCAGAGCAGTAGTCAGCGACCTGAAATGATCTGGCTGTTCCCTGTCCTAACACATGTATGCATTTGTTTTAGGAATCCAGCTGCAGCGTTTCTTCCTGCAGGCCTCGAGACAACTTCCAAACCAGAGTAGTTTGTTGTACCTCCAGAGAGTCCAAGCCCATCTAATGAGGCTGGAGCAGGAACCCCAGGCCTTGGGTGCTTGAGCACATCCATCACCACGCTGCCTGGCTTTCCTGCACCAGCGGTCCCATCAGCTCTCTGTGAAGCTTTCTGGGGAACAGGAACTATGGACAGTGCTCACAAATTCCCTGTAGGCAGCTCTTCCATTATGATGCAAATCCCCAGTATCCAGGACTCAGAACCTGGGCTGCTCCTGTGTTTTGTTGTGCCTTGAAGTTTCACATATTTCCTGTTCCACATGAGTCATTAGGAAGAGTGTTTGACAAACAGGAGCTGTTCAAAGGAGAGCAACTGAAATGATCAAGGGACTGGAAGGATTGATTTAGAAAGAAAGATTAAAAGGATAAAGTCTGGAGAGATTGGTTAAACAGCAACTACTGTGAGCATGATAACCTACACATACTTAAAAAGTATTTCAGAAACAGGAAAACACAAGTAGCATGATACATGGGGAGACAAGTGAAAACAGGCAGGAATTGAGAGTAACCTGAATTTTCCCTTTGAGATTAGCTTTCAGACAATAGGAAAGGAAATGTTCTCTGTCACTACTCTAACCTGATGGCAGCATGAAAGAAACCCAATTGCTCTCAATTTTATAAACCCTAGGACAAAAAATACTAGCAAATGTAACTTAAGGTAGGATGCCCAGGAATGGCACTGGGTTGGGGAGTGGTGTCCTCCCCATGAGCAGGCCACTTTGGGAGAAAATGTGGGCAGAGCAGCTCTCGTTCCATAGCCCCACAAAAGCCAGGGAAACTCCCCTTAGACATCAGAGCTTGCTCTGTACCTCTCCAGGAACCTGCTCTCCTCAGCTGGCAAGTGGAACGGCTTGTGGATGAGACCAAGACTTCCCTGACGGGGCCGTGTGCACGGATGAGGTTCCTGCAAGCCCCCCTCACCATCTGGTCCATGAGCTCTGATGTGCTACAGCCATTTTTCAGTTTTAGTCGTGACAACTTCTCATGCCAGAGTGTGCAGCTGAGCAAGCCTGACCAGATGCTTATCAAGTGTAAATCGGCGCAAATGTCTATTTATATCAGCTGAGGCTGTGCACCACTCTTTATAATGAACCATGTGTCCATTGTGCAGTCATGGACACAGAGATGAAGACTAAAGGGACTTCTAGATCATCTGTTTTGACCTTCCAAGTATCACAAGCCATTAATTTTCACCCAGTTACCTCTGGATTGAACCCAATAATTTGTCGTTGACTAAAGCATAGTAGGTATTTAGCTAAGAAGAAACTCTTTGCATGAGGTCAGTTGTTGAGCTCAAGACATTCAAACGTGACTAATCCTCTCCTTCATGCGGGAGTTTCTTGCTCTGGCTAATCACCTTTGCTCTTTCATAAAAAGCATTGCTTCCATTTTAACCTGCCTGGCTCCATCAGATGTTATCTGCTACTGAGGTCCAAGCTTGCTCATGTTCAAGTCAGAAGGTCTGATAATTTGTGATCATTTTTATGTTTGTTCAGAATTATCCATCAAAAGTATTTTGAAGTGGGTTAAAAATAGTTTATTTTTGGGACCCACACAAGAATATTTGATATTCTCCATGAAAATCACTGTATGTTAAAAGCATGAGTATATTGCTTAACTTAAAAGATCAACTAATCAATCAACCTGTTTGTCTGATCACTCATAATATCCACCCTACCTGAATATTTGAACACATCTCTGTCATACTGGTAGCAACAGCAAAGTCCCTAATGGGTTTATCTGTGGCATACTTGTCTTTGGGAGAGTAGTTGCTCCAGTCTCACATTTCCTTGAGTTTCTTCTCATGGTTGCTGCAGGAGATAGTATTCTGTGGTACCTGGACCTGTGGTCTGAACCAGTACAGCTGCTCCTATAACCAGAACTATGCTTAAGAAAGAACATGGAACAGTTTTGCTTACTATCAGTTTTCTCCTTTCAGGCACTAGAGGAGCTGGGGTGCAAACATGAGCCTGTGTTTTGGGTTCCATTCTTCTAGTGGAAATGCTTTTTAATGAAGCCAGAGAAGAGACCTGTTAGAGCGTATTCAAAATGCACTTTCTGCAAATAGTATGCAACACTGACTTAAAATTGCCATGTCTACAAACACTCCTGCCAGTAAACTGATTTGTGAGATTGTTCATGGAAACACAGCAAAATAAGGGGAGTGAACTCAGCAGAAAGGAATGAATTAAAAATTTGAAAGAAGATTTGTGGGTCGTTCCTCAGGGCCTGCTAACAGATTTAAGGCAGCTTAGCAAAGAGCTGATTTGGGGGGTGTTTGTCACAACCCCTGGCAGTGCTGTGCAAAGGTATCCTTGATTGCATGGGAATCTTTCACAGGGCTTACAGGAATCTCCCTGGGTGAGGTAATGGGCCAGATACCGTGTAACACTTGTGACCACAACAGCTTTCTTATTAGCTTGGGCAGTTCCAGAGACACGCCATCTGTGAGTGCCCCAAGCATAGGAAAATGGAAACTAAAGCAACGAGTTTTCTGTCTTTTTCATCCTCTGCCCTGTGAAAGAAAGAGACGGAGTAGTTTATAGGGTGATTTGTTTGTTTAGACTTCTGTATGTGAGCTTATTGATGGAAGATTATGTTGGGGAACTGAGTTTCCTGTGGAGAAGGCAGAAACTACCACAAGGGTTCTCACTGTACCTGGGAGAAATATAGTGATCCAAAGTCCTGCAAAATCCTGTCTCCAGCACAGACTCTATCCTCGAAGTCAACCATCTGCTTGTTCCTGTATGGCAAAGTAACCGTGGGGTTATGCAGAAAGGTGAATTTCTTCAGCAACTCAGACAAAAACCTGTGGCAGACATAGAGTATTGGGGCAGAGACCTTGAAGGTGACTCTGTCTTCACTGGTGGCCAGTACAAATGAGGGAGCAGTCGGGTGATGTTCTCACAGTAATCGGTGTTGCTAGGGAGACCAGAGACTGTGTTTTCTCAACTGGAGCTTTTCCAGGATGCCTGCGTTCTTCACTGGATATTAGCTGCAATAATCAGTCATGAATGCCTGCATCACTGTGCTGAGACCTGTGTCTGATAGGATAGGACACCATCTTCTGGCAGGTTGCAACTGGGAGTGTTTTAATGGTACAGTTATCTGGGAATTACATAGCAGCAGGGTGCCCGGAGGAACTTCAAAGCTACATGTGGGCTTAAAAGTCAGGGCTGATGCCCCTCAGTGCCCCTCATGGAAATACATGAGTGCTTTGAAGGGTTTAGTTTCTTTTTGCAAGCGTCAATTTGGTTGCCATGTTCCTGCTTTCTTCTGCCACAGCTCTTTCCTCAAAGGTTCCTTTAACAGAGGACAGTGTGCAGCACCTCAAAACAAAATATTCAATTCACAGTCTATGGAGGCATTTCCCCAAGAATAGCTGTACTTGTAAGGTAGCCCCAAACAGGTCTGCAACCTGTCTACTTAGGTTTGATTAATTAATCAGGGTTCTCTTCTTACCTGAATTTAAGCCTTCTCTCAAAGGAAATTAAAAAAATAAAATAAAATAAAATAAAATAAAATAAAATAAAATAAAATAAAATAAAATAAAATAAAATAAAATAAAATAAAATAAAATAAAATAAAATAAAATAAAATAAAATAAAATAAAATAAAATAAAATAAAATAAAATAAAATAATAAAAGGAAAATCAGAAGAATTATCCTGCAAAGAATTAACTGCAAAATGAAATTCCATATGAAAACATGGATCTTGGACTGCAGGAGAAGACTAATAGAATTCAGGTAAACAAAAAATGATCACATAAAAATATCTTTGCAGAATTATATGCTTCTCTAAAAAAACTTCCAAATCCATCAGTCACTAAAAGTGTAGGAAATTCAGAGCAAGTGTTGAGATATGAGGATCTCTAATAATGGTAAATACAGAATTGCATGGTGAAGCAACCTTAAGTCTGACTCCAGCAACGATTTCAGAAAAATCAGACATTCTGAGACTAACCTTGTCCATCCATTACCCACAGTGTCATCAGATCAATGGCCACAAAACTAGAATGCTTTATTCTCCATCTCTCTGAGGTTGTGCTGACTCTGGCCCTTCTTTACAGCCATGCACTCTCTACAGAAAAACACATATTTCACAAATTCCTCACTAGACAAATAGCACATCGAAACCATCACTCTGCACTTGTCATTCTGATTCTATTTACCCCAATTAAAAAAAAGGACTGCAAAGCACAGGGCTGCCAGACATGAATCTCCTCAGCTCTGTTCCCTCCCTGCGCTTGCCACGCAAAGAAGGTTTTCATCGGAAACCCAGAGCCTGATCCCTCGGGAAGTGCTGGGCAGGGTAGTGACCCTCCTTGCCTCGCCTTTCCCCAGTCCAGGGAGCTGCATGCCAGCAGAGATACTTGCTCAGGTCCCCCACCAGACCCTGCCTCAGGTCCAGCAGTCCCACAGTGCTAAACTGGTGCTGTTCTTGAGGCTCCTTGCGCCCCCAGGGAAACCCTGACTGCTGTTGCATTGTGCTCTGCACTGCTGCCTGAGTTTTGCAGTGCAGAGGAGGTTTAAAGGCACTGGTGCTGCTCTGAAACCTCTCTCTCTTACCAGATCACTATTAAGATCATGCAAGTGCCAGGGCAATAGCACTTTTACGCATTTGCAGTTTCTAGTCTTAACTTTCTGCTGTGCACCATTTACATTGGTATTTTTAATGCCCTGAAAAAACTACAACTGTTCTCTCTTCTTTGCAGGCACCACAACAGAGTGGAACAGAGGGCTTGAAGGCCAGAAAACAGAAACTTGGGCTTTGAGGCACTCTGAGGAGGCACTGGGGACAGAAGACTCTGATGTCTCCTTCCAGACAGCTCTGCAGGTGTCACTGAGCAGTGAGAAATGGAGAACCAAGACTGATGTTGGAGCTGACACATAACGCTGTGGCTGGATCCAAAAAACACAAGACATTAATTCTTGGAGATCTCAAGAAAACAGAGCTGGAGTATCAGCTGACTTAAAGAAACCTTGGCAAAAGGAAGGCTGACACACACTGCAAACACAAAAGCTGGAGACTGTGCTTTGCTGGGAGCAACCTTTCATACTACAAAACACTTTTCTAATATCAGTCTTTTTATGACTGAATCTGATGATGGCAGTGGTTGTTTTCTTCACAGTTCACGGAGAATGGTCATCAAAAAATACCCAACTTTTCCTCATGACCTTGGTGTGAATTTATAGCCTGTCGTTGTGTTTTGAGATGCCATATGTGTGAGAGAATAAGAGGGAGGGAGACATTTTGTTTCCAAAAATTATGCCACACTTAGCACTATTACAGCATGGTGGACAATGTATATCACTTAAAGTAGCAAGAACAGGTCTGGGGCAAAGGAGGACCTTGTGGTAAGCACAAATGTATCTTGTCCTTGGGGACAAAGAAAAAAAAAAAATAATGTAAAACCCACCCTCCACTAATTAATGTAATATAATCCATTCAAACAGGAAGAAAGTTCTGAATTGTTTTTTAATTATTTCCCATTAATAAATCTTCTTTGACAGGAAAGAATCAGCAGGACCCAGTGAAGGGCAACTATTTCATTGCAAGAGTCTATTCAGCCTGAGGGTGACATCCGAGCTGGTAGATTTATGGAGAAACTACTATCACATCTGAATTTTTTGAGTCCCTTTACTTGGGTTGACCCTAATGATTTGGTGTCACCTTGTGGATTTTGCTAATCCTATCTTCTTTTGCTCAACAAATGAAGTCCAAAAGAATCCAAAACAACTCTTTTGCCTCTGCTTTTGGTATTCCTTTGGCTATTAACTGTTGCTAATATTGTTGTTATTAATATTTTTAATAGTAGTACTAGTGGCGTTAAAATAGCAGCCCCTTGGAAGTTCCTTGACTAGAACGTCACTGGAAAAAAAAATAATTAGAAAAATACAAGTTTCTTGATCTGTAATGTTTAGGATTTATCTGCTGGCATCATTCAGGCAAACAATCCATGGTGAAGTGTCTTAGCCTTCAGAGCCACTGGAGCTGGATTGCACCTCTGAGATCCTTATTCCTGCAAATGCCCTCCGGGCGTGGGCAGTGTCTGGCTGGGTGTGCCTGGGGGTGTGTGTGGTGATGTGCCTCCTACCCCCCAGGCCTGAAAGCAGAATGAGTGGTGGTGGCAGCAGGAGCTGATGGCTCTGTGCCAGGCTGTGCTGGTGCCAGAAGAGTCTCCAGCCATTAGCCAAACTCAGTCTTGCTATTGTCCCATTAAGAAAAGGCTGAGAGCCACGCGGAGCCATCTGAAAAGCTAAATCTGGGCTGCGGTGGGAGGAATTAGGATAAATTGAACACTGCTGCTCCAGGCAGTCAAGCAAGCTGTTTTGATTGTACCCAGGTCCTGAACCACAGAACACATGTTGTTTCCCTTGCTCCTTGATACAGAAGCTCTGAACTCATTCAAAGCTGCCCTTGTGTGTCCGTGGGATGTATGTCCAAGCCACAGATCCCTGCTGCATGCCAGGGCCAATGGGACACTGACTCAGTACTGTGCTGATGCCATTGGCTCTGGGTTAGCTTGTCTCTTGTCTCTCTGCCCCAGTCACAGTGCAGCATACAGGTATGTGATTAGGTGACCAGGCCTTCAGTGTAGGATGAAAATTAATGAAAAAAATAAAAATGAAACAAAAACAAATAAACAACAACAACAAAAAAAATCATGATATGAAGATAAGCATCTAATGGAGAATAATAGTTATCAGTAAAGGTAAGAACAAAATTTAGTTCCTTTCATAATTTCCTGAAATGTTCTATACCATCTATGTGTGGGCAATATTTTACCTTGATATAAACGTTACCAACCAGATGCAGCTTAAAATAACATCTTTTTCCAAGAATCAGAATGATGATACAAATGGTCAAGTTGCTATGATTCTTTTTATATCTTGGCAAGCAACTAGAGGTCAATTATTATTATTACTTTTGTTATTAATCATGGTATTATTTACCACACCAAAACAATTGTGTTTTTTCTCTCCAAAGCAAGGGTTTATGATTATTATTTCTCAGCCCTTCTTTTAAAATTTATTTTAAATTTTGCTCCCAAAGAGATGCAAGTCCTCTAAAGAGACTGACCTATCAGTTTGGTGCTTACTTTTAGATACCTTTAGACCCCTCAAAAGTAGTGCCTGGATTATCCACTGAAAGCTCCTGGAATAAAACCCAACAGAACTCCAGAAACAGTCACCCTTGCCCATTTGCAAACATGAATGTTTTTGTGTTTTGTGTTGTGCTGAGCACAGTAGAAAGCTGGTCCCAGTCTAGGGCTTTGAGGCGTTATCACAGAGACAATGATGCACAAGCAAGTAAAATAAGACAAAGAGGGAAAAGAAGCAGATACAAGGGGGAGCACAAAGTAACAGCAAAATGATTAATTAATGAAAAGATAAACAAGCAAGCAATTCAACTCCTCTTTCAGGCTATTAGAAAATGACATCATAATCAGTGGTTCATTTTTTTAGGGAACTCTACAGTGAGGTCATTCTCCCTTCATGTTAGCAATTAGGCAGTGGCTTGTGTTTAGCAAAAGAGAATACAGAGAGAGCAAGGCACATAATTTAATTTCAACAGATGCATGTATAGGACTAAAGCAAACCATCTGTCTAAATAATAAATATACATAAGCAAGTCTGAACCAAATAGACATGAGAAGGGGTCCCTGCCTATAAGAACAGGGTGTGTATCCTAGGTCACCAGCTAGGGAATTACACAATTCTTTGCAGGATCATAATGCTGAGGCTGTGATGCCTATGCAGGTAGTACTGGACAGACCTTTGTGCTATCTTTTCAAGTTCTTTTAAGCAAGAAAAACTCTTTGATAGTAGCTGTGATAGGACTTCTTCTACAGAAATAAGGCTCTAGCTTGCACCTAGACAGCTGTGTCAGATGCTTTCAGAAATGCTTACAGCCCAGATTCTAAAAATGACCTTGGGAAACAAAAGAGAAAGATACAAATCCCTAGGTTTTAGGTACCAGGCTTGTGGAGTGGAAGTAAGGCATTTCAGCTCTCAGTGCTCCATGTGGACTAAATCAGACGTTTCAGAAGAATAGCAACCTGCAGCTTTCTGCCAGTCTCAGTGGAGAAAGAAGGCACTCACCTTGGAAAGGCAGTGTGCGAGGTGGGAATCTCCTCTTGCTGATCGGTGTGAAGAAATTTAGAGTCTGCTGTCAAGGGTGCTGGTCTGCCTCCCTGCTCACAGGGGATGTATATGTGTGCACTCAGGAGTACAGCAAAGCTCAGGAAGTGTGCAGAGCCTCAGGTGGTGGGGACAGCCCCTGTGTTACAGCTGGCTTTGGCAGGGAGGAATTCTCAGTGCCTCACACACGTGTCGTGTGTAGCTGCTCTTAGAGACCTGTGGAAGAGGAATAGGCTTGGACCCTGTGGGCCATTGCTGTGTGTATTGATTGCAGGAGAAGGTTTCTTCCATATATTCATAGAGGCTGGTTTAGCCTGAGCTGGGACTCAGAGACTGTGTCTCTCTTTCTCTGGTTATGATTTATGACTTCAATCCAATTTATAGCCATTTACAAGAATGCTGAACTGGCTGTAAATCAGTAAAAGACCATAAAATACTCATGGAACTGCTGAAATCCATCTGGGTGAGCTTCCTTCTCTCCCAAGAGCAGCCATCTGAGGGCAGGAAGATGTAGCCCTCCCGTCAAGCCCACTGGCAGTGATGGGGGTGGGGGTGAGATGTAGTGCTTGGCTGCAGGAAAAGGTAAAGGGAAGAAGTTTGCTTTCTGAGAGCATACAGGAGTCAGCTGAGCCCTTGCCTGAGGAGCACAATGGTGATAGGAGCAGCTCTGTAGGGTTTCTTCAGAGGAGCTTCACCTGAGGGCAGGTCTAAGGCAAAATCCATGGGGAAACAGTGAGTAAAGTCACTTTCAGTGATCTGTGATTGTCTTTCAGAGTGTTTCATTGAGTCAGTGACTTTTGTGGGCAGTTCATGGGAATGCAGACATAGAGGCTGTTTTTATTCTCACCAGATACTCTGATGGGATATTCTGGGGCAGGTTGGCTTGGCCCTCAGACATGAGAATTGCAGTCCTTGGGAATCTTGTAAGGTAAAAATTTACCTGCCTCCCTTACCTAAAAATCACGCTCAGAGTTCAAGGAAGCCATCCAAGAGAGGGGCCTCATAGTGCCAAATTGCATGCTTACCCCTGCATCAGGGGATGATGCAGTGTGCTACAGAGATATTGAAATTATCAGGCTTCACATTTCATCTTTGACTTCTTTATAGTGCAGATTTTCCTCTCCTACCTATTGATGGGGAGCAGGTGGAATTCAATGAGAATGTTTGCAAGTCTTATTTTCCTTTTTACTCTACTGTAAATTGATGATCAGGCAACACTGGAGCACCAGGCTAGAAGGCTCTGCAGGGGCTAGCAGGTCTTGTTCTGCTCTTGCTCTCTCTAGCAGCTATGGGGATGTAGAACACGACTGGTACAAAATAACCGCAGCACCCAGGAGAATGCCCCAAACTCTTACTCTGTAGCAGAACACTTTCCAGCGTATGGTAGCATTCAGTTCTACAAAAAATGACCACGTGCCTGCAATGGAACCTCCCCACAGGCCTTGGTGTCCTGTCCCAAAAGGTTATTACCCCTGCAGTTAAACACTGTCAATCCAAATCTGCTGAGCTCCAGATCTGTGGCTGTCTCGCTCGAGTGCAAAGCGGCATGGTGCTTCACCTCTGAGCTGGTGTTTCTGACTGGGCTGGCTTGGGAAGCTGCTCACCCCTGGGATGCTGCTGCAGTTTGCGAAGAGCAATGAACCCTGGCCAGTGCTGTGTGTCTCTTTTGTTTCTTGTGTACAATGCCTTGGGGAGAGATAAGCAATTGTGCTGCCTATGCACCGCCTGTGACCCTGTAGTGCCCTGCGAGTGAAATCCAGGCTTCGCTCTGCTTCACATTCAAAACAACAGCAGAAAATAACTTCCACTTTCTTCATTTCGGTGGGCTTGGGCTCATGGACAATGATAATGAGAAATAACTAAGGCTGACTGGTGAGTGCGCAAGCCTGAAGAATGTCTCCCTTATGCCTCTGTCCAGCACAGGTTCAAAAACCAGTGCTGATCAGCTGGCTGCTTGGACAGGCTCAGTCTGTGCCGAAAGAAGCCCTGATGAGAGTGAGGGAAGATAGCTCACCATAAGCCATTGAAAAGT